TTCAGGCCATGTGGTAGAAAACAAGATAAAGCTTTTAGAGAGAGATCTCCACCTTTCTGCCTCGGCAGGTGTGGAGTGCTCTTCCGTGAACAGAGGCAATGCAACTCCACAGCAAAGGAAGGGAGGGATTTCTTCACTCCCATACAGGAGTTTCCTCTTCCTGCATGCTGTGAAGGCAGCCTGTACACAGGCCTGCCCACATGGTGCTAAAGCACTAGATTTTGGGAGTGGCATGAACTGGAAGTAGGGCTGGTGAATCTGCTGCTTTGACAGCAATGTGATAGTTATTCCTTCTCTTCTGCAGTGGTGCAGGCATTTATGGAGGTAGCTGCAGGCCTGGGACTGAAGAAAGAATCGGTCAGCTGCTGCTTTGTCATCTGGGAAGGATTTCTTCCTCCCTTAGCTATTACACAGTGCACAAAGAGCAGTCAGACTTTCTCTAGAGACTGAGATTCCTTTTCAAATGCATTTAGTAATTAAAAAATAAAATAAAATCCTTCCAAACATTCTGTGGTTTCTGTCCATGAAAAGATTCCAAATTTTATTTTATTTCTTAAGATAAAATACAAACAGCCCCCAAAATCCCAGCTTGTTTAAACCTAAAAACTTTCCACTAAAATGGATTTTAAAACTGATTTTTTTCATCATTTTTTTTTTTTCCCTCCAAACAACTTACTTTGCCTGTTTTGTTTTTTCCGTGTGCGTTATAACATTGCAGAAATGATGACTGACCTTCAGTTAAAGGAAAGTGAGAATCAATTACTCCTGTAACTGGGAAATGAGACTGCTGCATCATCAATGTTTTTAATTGTAGCTTTCTTTTGCTAATGGGAACAGTTTAAGTAGCTGAGAACATAACCATAAAAAACAGGTGTATTGGATCTTTGAAATTATTCAAGAATCCAGTTAAAGAGTTCTATCTACTAGTCGTTTTGGAGAGCTTTTTTGGATATAACTCAGCAGAGACCACGAAGTTATATGTTAAAGTTCGAGGACACTCTCTTATTTTTCCCCCCCCCCCTCGTAATTTAAGCCTTTGTTTCCAGACTTACTGTCTTTGTTCCTGCTGACTCCTAAAATGGGGTAACTTGAATCATTTGTCTAGTCCTTCCTTCCTGTCTCTGTGTTTTGAGACACTTCAGCTGTCCAGCATGGAACTGACTACATTTTTTTTAACTGATGTATTTTTCAGATGTCAGACTCTGTCAGGTTCACCCAGACCAAAGAACTTTAAGAAGGTTCATTTCATCAAGAACATGAGGCAACATGATACTAGAAATGGCAGGTACTGTGCAAGAAAAGGTTTTCTTATTCATGGGGGTGGGTCTGGATGGCAAATCAATACAAAGCTAAGTCAGACTTCAGATTTACTATGTAACACAGGCAGTAACTCATTAAGATTAAAATAATAAAGATATCTAAATGCAAGCAAAAATCTGTGGTGCGAAATATTAATCGACTGGATTTCTAGCTGGGTTTTCCAAACCTTGTCTCCATTACAAAAAGGAATATATAATAGGGAACTTCCTTTTTAGAAGTTAGTTTTTTGCAGCCATTTTCAATTAATGTGGCTTTGCCAAAATTGTGGACCAGACATAATTTGGTTAAAGTAGATTTGTCAAATCATTTGAGACTAGGGCTAGAGAACTGAGTACGTTTGAGCTGTCCTAGATGCATGTAAGTGGACTGCAAACAAACCCTGGCACAAATTAAAGCAGGCATCTGAATGCTGTAGCATCTGTCAGTGGGCAGGTTTTGGAGGAAGGAAACGAAACATAAAGCAGACTTCTGAAGGTAGATCTAAGGACTTAGGGGCTGAGGTTCTGGCCCCAGGTCACTGAGAGGGAAAAGGGAAAGCATTTTAAGGAAAGGAAGAAAGAGAATTGGTATGGTTTGGGTAGGGCAGTGGGAAGTTATGACTTTTTGGGGGAGAGAAAATAGGTGGAATTAGGAGTCTGGGAACATAACAATGGGAAGTGATCAACATGATGCGATTTCAAGAGTAGCAACACATGTAAGTGCATATGAGACAGAATTAAACTAGAGATTTTTTTCACTGAGAGAAAAAAAGAAGCATAAGAGGAGAAAAAGATGGCCTGCACTGAAAGAACAGAACAGATGCAGGGTGGAGGGTATCTTATGAATATGTTGTCTCTACAGCGCAAGAAGTTCTGCACTTACTCTTATAAGTATTTGGAGCAAGATTGCTGCCATCTGCTTGGGAAGTGTTTACTGAGGTAGGAGTGGGACTGAGGGCATATAGATGACCAGAAGGAAGTGTTCTTCACACAGTGTATTTAGGCAGAGTGGTTCAAAGACACTAGGGGAGTGTGTTCAATAGTAGGCCTCACTGCTCTTTGATAGAGATGCAGTACCCTCACCACATGAGCAAACGGCCCAGCCAGTTGCCAGCATGAGTCTGAACTCTTCCCCAACCCTGACTACCCCTACACACTTGAAATCTGCAGAGGCTCCCTCAGACTTAATGGAGTGCTACATCTACAGTGAGCAATTCACTCTGACAAGGAGGCCAGAATTTGAGTCTAAACTTTAACTTGTCATTGTATATATGGAAGATACTTGCAGTCCAGCATGCTGTAGTTGCAAGTCCAAATGACATGAATTGCTTTAATTTGTTACATATGCAAGTATATACAATACCTGTGTTGTAATATACGCGTGCATGTTTGGGCATAAAACGTACCTATGCAAAAGAGGCCCCATTAGGACTTTAAGAATGCAGCAGTCTATGGTAGGGTTGGCATTCTAGGGTCCATGGGCTGGAACAAATCCATGAAGAAATTGGATCCAGCCTCTGTGGCACATGGTGGCTGGAGGATCAGTGGCAGTGAGAACACCACCACCACCCTGCCCTATGGATTCCTCTAGGCATGCTGCTGGTGTCCTCTGCAGCTTCCACTTGGCACCTGTCCCAGGCCTGCCTGCTCTCTTGCTCTTTTACTGCAGCCTCCATCTATCTGTGTAGCTGAATTTGTAGGTCCCTGTTATTGGTTGTGATGAGAAAAATCAGCAGCACGTGGTAGTGGGGTAAGCAGAGTCTACTCTAAGTGTGGGTATGAGAGGAAGAGAGCAGCCCTTTGCACAGAACAGGGAGGGCTAGGGCAGTGCAGAGAGGATTGGTCGCCCATGGCAGCAGCCAAGCTGCAAGCTGTTCTTAAATGCTGTTGATCCCTGATCTACAACACCAGTCTCTCTTATTCCAGTAGTTGTTTAGTGTACTTATTGTATCCATATAACACTTTATCTTGGTTTATATACCAGTAATTCCACGTCTGATAAGAAAACAGAATATTTTCTTATTAACAAAACTTCTATTTCTCTCTTCTCTCCCCCCCCCCACCCCCAACTAGTTCCTTATCTTTATTGGCAGGTATAGTTTGTTTTTGTTTTTTTTCCAGAATATTTTAAAGGACACGTGTGCACACATGTGCACCACTTTGAAAAGCTCTGCATCCTGTGGACAGTCACAGAAAATAAAATGTAGAATCAACACTTTGGGCTTCTCAAGTGAGTCAGTTAAGCCCACTATTAAGCACCAAAATAAGTGACCCGATTTTTCCAAAAGTGCTGAGCACCTATTTTCATGGAAATCCAATGGCTGTATTAGATGCAAAGCACCTTTTTTAAAAAAAAAAAAAATCGCTTCTATGTGGCTTAGATACTGCTATGTCCATCCCCATTGCATAGTATCTGTATACCTCATAGTCTTGAATGTATTCATCAGTGAGGTATAGAAGTACTATTATTCCAGTTCACAGAAATTCCAGATCCTCAAAGGTAAATAGCAGTTAAGCATCCAATAACTTTATTGAGGGTTTGTGTCCAAGTGATTTGTACAAGGTCACCCAGGAAGTCTTTGTCAGAGAAGAGAGTTTAATCCAGGTCTTCATTATTTGTTAGACTCTAATCCAGTACTCAGTTGTTTAAAGCCACCTTCCTTTTACACTAATATACCTATTTTGCATAAATTGGTGCATTTTATATAACAAATTAGAGCACAACTTTGAAAGTGTTTCATTGACTTAATTATTTTTGGATGGTTAACTCAGCAGTTGATTTGTTTTAAAGTTTAACTAGGTGTTTTGGGTTTCTTTTTCCCCGCCCCCCAAGTAATCATATGTAGCTTTCCACTCAAGTACACATTCTATAAACCTTTTTAATTAAATGGATGATTGCCTAGTCTCTGCATATTCTTAATTCTCTCAACTCATTGCATTTTTAGGGCCCTCCCATTCTTTCACCAGTAGTGTGATAGTTCCCCTTCTTGCATAGATAGGCATGCATCTTACCTTTAATAAGGATTTACTGCCTTCAGTAGGAGGCTGGATAGCACCTTGGCCTTTGTCTCAACTCCAAACACAAATGAATCAGTTGTAGAGTTACTGCTTTAAAACATTAGCTTAACGCAGGGGTGGGGAAAAACATTACAAACTTCCTGTCAAAAGCTTTGTGCATTAAACCAGTTTTTAGAAATTGTGTAACATGCATTTTATTAAAGGATTAAACCCAGAATGTCTAGTCGCAAATTGTCGTGGACTGTCAGAGCACTCTTTAAGAGGATGATTTCTCTGTTGTGGTTAGTACAATTTTCCTGTGGGGGGGAGAATTAAAAAAAAAAAAAAAAA